TTGTAATTCTGTTGTTTCAAGTAAAAAATAGTGTTCCGTTAAAAAAACCCAACACAGCTAGTTCAGCTCACAACTCAAACCCACACGGGCTTTTCTTTCGAGAAAACCATCACACTTCACAGAATATTAAAAAGATAAATCCTCAAAGATTGAGAGGGAATAAAACTAGTAATTTTAACTGCTTCAACAAAGTCATGTTGAGGTTAAATTGGCTGCCAGTGAATATGGTTTGGTGCCAACCGCCTTGATTCATGCTCAGGCACCAGCAATTTTAGCAAGCCTCAGTGTAAATGTCAACAGTGAAAAAAGCAAGTTATATCTTAGTAATAGTTTTAAATCCACAGATCCCCCGAGGAGGGGATCCCCTGAGGTCCATGAAAGTGACTTTGAGAACCATCTCACCGAGCTGATTCCCAGAGAGTCAATGTGCAGCTTAAATATTAGCTATTTCAGCAGAAGGTAAGTAAGTTTCAAAAATCACTCTACACAAGATCCAAGTAAGACAGAGCACGGGGAAACTGACAGGGTGTAGCCTACCATATTCAGTTTGTTAATCCCAAATCAGACATTAAAAAATACAGAGTCTAGGAAAATTTTTCCTACAGATCTGATTATTGTAATATTTGGCAGAGGGAATCTAATGGAAACCAGCTGCTGAAGCCTTGCTCTGAGCAGTTGGTTAGCGCACACCGCCGCCAAAAGGCCCCTTTAGTGGGGGAGGCCGATGAGCTCCTGCAAAGGCGTTTTAGCAGCTTTTGCTCCGTGAGTCCCGTGAGAACACCACCACTCACTTTTCCACCCTGTAAAGTAGTCACACTTTCTTTGGATCTTTTTCCTCTTCTAGTCAAAGAAAGCTTACTGGAAAGGACGATAAAATGCATGGCCTGCAAAATCCACACCCCTTTAAAACCCAAATGGTTCTTTTACACCTATAGTGCATCTGGCTTTAATCTCAAAAGGTGTGTAAAATAAAAATAAAATAAATAAAATCATAAAAATCTTCTTCATTTACCACTTTCATGTTTTACTTAATTCTTTACCAGTCTAAAATATCAGCTGTTAAGTAAACATAATCACACACACAGAGAGCCTTGGTTTCTAAGAATCTGTAAAGGTACAAGCCAATATAAATGATAACTCATGTTAATTTACGTCACCCGAACAATGTTCTTTGCTTTTGGACTATCTACTCTTGTGGGTAGCCAAGATCCTTAATTTCTTTTTTCTTCTCTATGTGTTTATGCTATCTTTTTTTGTCTCATCCTCTCATAAGACTATGTTCCAAATTATTAGAAATAGAATTAGTGAAAAGTGAACATTCAGCCCTTTTTCATTACTCACATAAATCATAAACCCCATTCTAAAAAGACATAAGCACACCACTTTCTGGCCTTGCCTTTTTTTGTGGTACACCTCCTGGTCTAGTTCCATCCTCTGGTTTCTCTCAGTCACTGACCATACTCTACCCGCTCTGGGGGCCAGAGGATGATTAGGTCCCACTGAATTCTATCATGCAGTTACTTAAAACAATTCCACTGGCAGACATGGCCGCATGGAAAAATAAACCTCTTATTGGCCCATTATCTTTACTCCTGATCCACTGGTACTTCCTGAACAAGGACTTATATTAATTAAACTTAGTGAGTAACACGTTCAGGAAGCTACAGGCCCCACCCATTAAATTAATGGCCAAGTTAAATCTGCATGTCTAGGTTGATCCAAATAATATATCTGAATTACTCATTTAGTATGAAACTTTCATTACTTATACAAACTGTTGTAGAACTAAGCTCCTCTTTTAACAATGGCCAAATTAAAACAAGTATACTTTTTACATAGAATTCTTCACTGACATATTTTCATTTAATAACAAATTATTCTAATTTAAGCAGCTAACAAAACAATGTGTCAGGTACCACTGCAGGCATTTTACAAGGATTGATTCATTTAACAATCACACCCACCCTATCTCATTATGATCCATTATGGTTTCATTAACAAATGAAAAATATGTAGCACAGAAAGGTTAAGTAACATGCTCCTAATTACCTACTAAAAGTGGCAGAACATGGATTCAAACTCAAGTTTATTAAGGACTGACCTTAGTCCCTTCTATTAGATCATACTGTTCTCCAAAATTACATCTTTGAGATATAATTCTATCCGCTTTACCCATTTAAAGTGTACAGTTCAATAGATTTTAGTATATTCAGAGATATGCAACCATGACATTTAATTTTAGCAGACTCTCATTACTACAAAAAAATCCAATACTCATTAGCAGTCATTGCTTATTTCTCCCACTCCTCACCAACGCCCCTCCTGTCAATGGCTAATCTTTCTCTACAGATCTGCCTATTCTGCACATTTTACACAAATGCAATCATATAATATTTGGTGTTCTGTGTCTAGCTCCTTTCACTTAGCATGTTTTCAAGGTTCATCCTTGTAGCAGTTTATCAAAATCTTGTTCTTTTCTGTTGCTGAACAGTATTCTATTATATGGATATACCATGTTTTGTTTCTCCATTCATTTGTTGGTGGACACTTGGTTGTTTCCACTGTTTGGGTTTTATGAATAATGGTGTTGTAAACATTCACATGTAAGTTTTTGGGTGGATGTAAGTTTTTGGGTGGATTTAAGTTTTCATTTCTCGTGGGTATACGTAGGAGTGAAATTCCTGGGTCATATGGTGACTCTAAGTTTACCCTTTTGAGGAGCTGCCAGACTGTTTTCCACATGGACTGTGCATTTTACATTCCCACCAGCAGTGTATGAGGGTTCCATTTCTCCACATCCTCGTCTACAATTGCTATTATCTTTTTAATTATAGCCATCCTAGTGGCTGGGAAGAGGTATCACACTGCGGTTTCGATTTGCATTTTTCCCTTGATGGCTAATCGTGTTGACCATCTTTTTATGTGCTTTTTAGCTACTTATATATCTTCTTGGGACAAATGTCTATTTCAGATCTTTTCCCATTTTTTAATTGGGTAATTTATCTTTTTATTATTGAGTTGTAAGAGCTCTTTATATTTTCTAGATACAAGTCCCAGATTAGATATATGATTTGCAAATATTTTCTCCCATTCTGTGGGTTGTCTTTTTATGCTTTTTTTTTTTGCTTTTTACTTTCTTGATTGTGACATTTGAAGTACAAAAGTTTTTTTAATTTTGATGAAGTCCAATTAATTTATTTTTTCTCTTGTTGCTTGTGCTTTTAGTGTCCTATCTGAGAAAGCTCTGCCTAAGCCAAGGTCATGAATATCTACTCCTGTATAAAACTCTTAGTTTTACAGTTTTAACTCAAATCTTGTTTGTATTTTTTTCTCTAGTTGTGAATTAGTACCACACTGACAGTACAACCACAATCACCCCATTCCCTTCGTTAGTACCAGGCGCTCTGGTGCTCTGGGCCCAGCCTAGTCTATGGACAGAAATGACTTGTTCATAGGACTGTAATTCCTCCTAGTATTAAACATCCCACCTATGGGATGTGACAGGTTTTCTGTTCCACCCCTCTAACAACACACAGTTAAGGACATGTCTAAAGATAAAAACTCCTTCCTTGCATTTTATGATCATAACCAGAGAATAATTTTTTCTATAAAATGTAAACTTACGTGCTCTCTACAATCATATTCCTAAACTCTCTTTGAAAAACGTAAATTTAATCCCTTTACTTATAAGTACTGAGACATGTCCACATGTTTTTGTAGTTTTCCTGTTATAATGTAACCATGACAGAGAAACTATAACTTAAGTAACAGAATTTAACTCAGCTAAGATTTATTGAGGGCCTACAATATGCCAAGCATTAAGGGAAATGCTAAAATGAGTTAAGTCATAGTTCTTGACCTCAGGAAAGTTATAATTCATTGGGGATTAACAAAACAAAAACAGAAACTGATGGTTAGATTCAGTCCTCCTGCAGAACCTTTATGTCCTGACTAATGAGGAATGAGGGTGCACCCCCCTAATTCTGAGGCTCAGCGAATTCCTTATCCTTAGTCTGTGATCTCAGCGCTCTACCTCTAGATTGGGAGTTTCAGAGAAACTCCTGAAAAGCTACGTAAAAATTATATTTTTATTTAAAAAATGATATATGTAAGGGAATTTGGCAAGTTGAAGGAACTCTGTATAACATGAAAGTCTTCCCATACTCTTCCTCACATGAATCTTTTTTGCTTAAAAAAGGAACTGCCACCTCCCCATAACCTTTGTTCCCTGTGGGACATACCAGTGGTCTCATCATTTAGCTTTTTTGACTACCACATACTTTTCTGTGGGGCTCATGTGTGGTTTTCTGGTTATAAAATATTTAGTTATATCATGATTTAGTTACATCAAAATATCATTTTTTAAGCTCACATAAGACTGAGTGTAAATATGTCTTCTAGTTTAACACCAGATAACTAATTTCAAGTTGTCTCTGTTCTTTGCGCTTCCAAGTCCCCACATCTAGCATGCTAAAAACATCCTGTTGCTTCAGGTCAAATCAATGTTTATTTGATGGAATCAAAATTATGTGTTCTTATGCCAGAAAGAGAAATTGAAGAACATTTTGCCTGAATTGTGTGGTTTATCCACAGTACCACATTCTGGTTTAAATTATTTCATCACTCAGTCAAAAAGCTACCATAATTTCAGTGGCTTTCCAGTCACAGTCAATAAAGTCAAAGAAACAGAAACACTATTTGCTTATCTTCATGACTAAGCAAAAGTCTTGAAGGGAGCAGTTAGGAAGCTGCCTCAGTAACTTAATAAATGCACGCAAAAATACTAAGGACAGAAATCATTTATTCTGAGATAGGAGATGCTAAGTAATCAGTAAGGTTGTAAAAGAAAAGTTTTTGTCTAAATCAACTATATCAGCCACTTAAATCCTATTTTAGGCACTAAGCTAACAGAATTCACTTAAAATTTCTTTTTTGTTTCATTTGAACATTCTTTAGGAGATTTAGAGTAGAGTAGATATCTTATTTGCCTTGTGTCTTACCTTGTGGCAACAAGAGGGTAGCTGTGACATGGCGATGCCCAGGCGTCCCGTGTCCACGGCATACAGTCATAAAGCAGCAGATCCTTCTCAGTCACAGCCATGAGGACCGGTCTCCACTGTTGCCTTCCACCGTCCAGTTTTGCCTGTTACAATGGCGAAATCCGGAAAGCAGAACTAACACTAATGATATATAATTGTGTAAGTCCCTTTAGTGATGATCTAACATAGTGGGTTCTCCACTGTTTCCCCAACCATATATCTAAACATCAGTTATTTTTCGAATTTTTAAATAAGGAATACATTTTGTATCACAACCCAACACACATATAAATACCTAAAATTAAAAATGTCCAAAACAATGCAATATCTGTATTTTATGCAGTGTACTATGATAATTTCTATTCTAGTTTTTTAAAAATGCTGATGACCGGCTATGTTGTATTTTGGAAAACACTCATACAAGCTATTGTGGAAGACTTCCCCATTATACTTAGGAAGTTTACCCTTCAATGTCAAATGCACCATTGCCTTTACTTGCATAAAGTTCATTGATCTCTGTGAAGGTTTAAAAATGTAGGAAAACAACCACTGTTTACCCAATATTGTCAAGGATCCAAGGACTAAAAGCAAAAGACTATGTTCAAGAAAAGTCCTGGTATCATCAAAATATTTGCCTTCCTTGAGCAGACAATGCTTAACAGCAGTGTAATTTTAGCACCGATCCTTCAGCTCACTATCACTGATGGATGGTTTCAGTGAGAATCCAAATTGATGAATGACCTGTCCCTTAAAGAGTTGTCTCAGAGCCACTTTTTATTTTCTCCTCCTTAATGACTTTGAAAGGTAATCTAAACATGTTGCAGCATTTTAAGAATACATGCTACAGTCTGAAAAGTGGACTAAGTGGTTCTGTTCTGTTACAACATCAGATGTGGAAAGTGAATTCCACCCAGTGAAGTGACCCCTGTTCTAATGTGTGCTGAAAGTACAAAATATATGAACTGACTTTGAGAAGTCAAGCAAAGTACCGTAGAAATAATTACACTTTTCTTACTAATAAATGTAAGTGTTTCTAAGACTCTGTATTAGTCCATGAGTAACTATAATATCTGGTAATTCTATAATATCTGGAGAATCTCTAAAGAGATTCTCTGGATTCTTACATTTTTGGGTCACTGGTACCCCCGCAAAGGGGATTTCTAGTTTATGTGTGTACTTATTAAGTCTTTGTCTTTGAGATTGTTTGGCATAATATATCAATGGGGAAAATAATGTAAGATCTACTTTCCCAAAGAATTAAAATGATAATTTGATTTTTTAAAATTAATTATCCTCTAACTGGTAAGAAAGAGATCTTGAAGCCTATATCAGAGTATATAGATTTGGAAATGCTAAATTAAATTTATTTCTTCCCAAAGAAGATATTTTAGGCTCTAAGGAAAACTGCTAATGTCAATATAAGTAATATCCAATTTCAAGAGAGAAAAATTTTTAACTAAAAAATTTTTAACAAGTGTTTATTCTTTAGCTCTCAAGTCCTTAGTTTTTGGAGAATATACCTTCCCTCTTCCACTTTTGATTGGAAAATAATGAAACCTTAATTTAAGTCATTCTGTTTGCCTATTTGCTTTAACTTTAAAGATATGGTTTGCTTTTACTGGAGGCAAACGCTGCCTGCTATGTATAGCATGAGATTTCGGTTGTGGTATTAATGCAGGCAGCCTGGGGCTCCGCTACTGAGGTTTTGGCTGGAGAAAAAAGGGACACTAAAGTCAGGGTCTGGTTTGCTGGGTTTCAAAACCCATGCATCCATTTACATGCACACACTTTAGCCAAATCAAAGCCCTCTCCAAATTTTATTTTCTAATAAATAGAGCAAATAGAACCAAAGATGAAGAAATACTAACAGTTCTTACTCCCTAAACCTCTTAATCTTATCAATCTTTTTGGTCAATTGATACACTTCTGTTCTTTATTTCTTTTTATAATAGAAAACACAGAGAAATTAAACAAATCATTACACTAGTACAAATCTGAGTCTTTACACATTTGGGGAATTACCAGGGACAAAGTAAAAACTATAAAAACAAACCCTTCTCTGGCTGCCTTGGCTTTTCTAATCTGTGCTCAAATGCTTAAAAATACTGGTTTTATAGACCATTCATGTTCCCCCATTTAGTGTATTTAAAGAACATTCCCTTTCAAGAATACAACCAACTAAAGGTAAATTCTCAGCCACATAAAAGTCAGCATCAATGAAGGGCAGACCTTCCTATGCGTAGAATGGATTAGTTATCATTTACTACATGTCTGTATTAGAGGTTTTCCCTGTTTTAAGCAAACTCAATTTATGACAATGTGAAATAACAAAAAGGAGAAATTATTTAAACTTAAATACATGATCCTTTCTTAATTTGTCCTAAATGACTGTATTTTCTAAGTATAACTGAAACAGTTTCATTTACATGCAAGCTTTTGAGGAGATATATCTCTTGCCAGAAGAAATGCTTACCTATACTAAACAGGTTACATGATCTGAAATTATCTTGACCACTTTCATCCTCATAAAAAGTCGTATAGTCAGAAAAGGCTTTGGCATTTACCTAGTCCAACCTTTATCAGATACATACGACCACAATACCTGAGAAATGGTATCCGATCTTGCTTGAACACCCTATTCTGAGAGCAATATTTAATTTGAGTAACTCAACTACTTTGAAAAGTAAAAATCAAGAATATTTTTAAAATAGTACCTTGAAATTAGTTAAGTGGTACTATATTTAAAATGGTGGAAATTTTCTTCTTAGTGTGATTTCTCAACCCTGAAGTTGGAAGGGGCAGACCTGGGAAACTATACGTAAAATAAAACACAATACAACAAAACAGAAACAAAAGAACAAAACCTCCCCGGGCTGATACTTAAACTGTCCGCTTACACACAAATGAGGGAACCAGGATACAAAAAGATGAAGGAACTTTCAAAAAGATCTAAAATAGTGAAAAACAGAACTAGCTCTTGAACCTTGATCTCTGAACCCCAAGCACAGTCTTCTTTTTCTAACTCCTTCTGGCCTAGCTGACAGTGAAGGACCCAAAAGAAAAAGTATTTACCACAACATCACATAGAACTTTTAGTGTCCCTTACATCAGACTTGGATTAAGTTCCTCCTTTCCCTTCAGCCAATATCCACCCAGGTTTTCTTGTTTCTCTTCTCTTCATTTTTCAGTTGTGGAAGACATCTGTCTAATGGCTTGTAAAATATTTTGTATATTGTATACTTTTCTCAGAGCAGGGCGGATAAGCCTGATGCCCCTGAAACTCTGTCCGTAGACTAGCACAGGGGCTGGGAAATTATGACCTGTGGGCCAAATACAGCCCCACTACTTGTTTTTGTAAATAAAGTTTTATTGAAACACAGCCACACCTATTCATTTTCATGTTGTCTATGACTGTCTTCTTGCTATAATGGCAGACTCAAATGGTTGTGACACTATCTGGCCCTTTTAGAACAGTTTGCTGATCCTGTTCTAAAATCATGAAAATTGTTCTCTGTCATTAAGAACAGAGTCTTTGTGATGCCAGATTTCCCCCAGGACATGCTCTAGCAAGGCAAGGAGCTGCACCTTTCCCCAACAGGTATTCAGGTTTAAGGGGATTAGAGCCAGGAGGGGCTTCTCCCAGAGGACATGGAGACTAGGCTTTGTCAAAGCTGGGGGGGGGGGGGGCAAGAGTCCATTGCTCTTTGTTGCAGCCCCCAGAGTCCTTCCAAGAAGGCCTCCCAGGTGACCCAGTCTGGCTTAGGTTGCCCCCCACTGTGAGGGGTCTTACCCGTCATTGACTTCCGACCAAGCTTTGGGGGCAGGGAGAGGAACTGAGGCAGCGTTTGCTACCAGAGACAAGCTTTGTCTCCTGTGGCTGGCATTCCAAAGGTTGTCTCTCACCCTTAGCGACAAGGGGTAGAGATACAATTCCTAAAATCAGGCAGAGCGGTCTACTACAGTCCTCTTTAGATAATGGTGGAATAGCTACCTGGAAGGTAATTAAATTCAAGGTTTCAACATACACTAAGGATGCAAGCAATCTTTTGCTGGTTTTGCCCTGCAGTTAACCCATTGACATCTTTTGTCCCTTTCTTGTGTACTCTGGTCTGTGGTCATTTAATTTAGGACATCTCAGAATTGTCTTCTTGTCAGCAGTTACATGGCTAACCTCCTGGGGACAAGAAGCCTTATATCCCAGATTCTAAATAAGAAACCTCTTTTTAGTTATGTTGCGATGATGATATTATCATGATGGTCAGTTTTTCTGGAGGAGGTGATAATTAGCAAGAGCTAAATGGTAGGGAGGAGAAACGAAAGATCTGCGTGGTAGACATCTAGGACCTGACTATATGATCAATATTACAGATACGTGAAATCTGTAAGCTGGAGAGCCAGGACCTGACTTTATGATAAATACGATATATGGCAGAACCATCCTGCCTCTGAATGGCAGCCAGGGGAGACACTGCCCTACCTCCCAGCCTACCTGTTCTGCCAGCCAGGCAATGTGCTTGACCTCCTTGCTGCCTCCTGCCGTACTGGTTGCACCAAGCATGGCATTGAGTTCAGCCAACACCTGTGGGAGGAGAGCCATTATGTTGGTGTGGATGGCTACGAACCAGGAGTGGGCGGTAGCTGTATCCTTGCAGCGTAGGATCAACGTGTTCCTGCTATCAGGAGAATGCAGCTCTATCAATCTGTGTGGAAAAAGAAAAAAAAAGTGAGCTAGATCAGAAGGCATCACACCTGCCAGTGTTGCACATACATTACTGGAAATCTATTTTAATTTCACACTCCAGAATAAAGATACTTTCTCTTAATTCCGTAGGGTCCAATTCCAGAGAAAAGCACACATGGAAAGGTAATCATCAGGAAGACGAACTTAACTACTGGGTCTCGTGTTTCAATGTGTTAATGCAATGACCTAAGATGAGGGAACCTGTCGTACAGTTGTATAAACCATATGCCTCCATTTCTGTGTCACAGAAATGGGAAGCATGCTTGTTGACTCACAGGCACACTGTAAAGAAGGAACTGAGATAAAAAATATATATATATAAAATACCTTATAATACATCATTATAAGGTGTTACTAGGTAAATAAAACCTATTGACAAATAGTGAAGTGAAATTTCAGCTGTGTGAAATAAAGGAAAGAGAAAATATCTGAAGAATATGATTCTTTACAAAAATTTACAACTGTTCTTTAGTGTCTGGGTAATATTAGATGATTGAATCATATGTTGAGTCATAGTAGAAAATAGTTAATTTAAGAGATCTTCAATTCCTTTTTTAAAAGACTTTATTTTTGTTTATTTTTAGAGAGAGGGGAAGGTAGGGAGAAAGACAGAAAGAGAAACACTGATGTGCAAGAGAAAGATGTGCATCGACGGGTTGCCTCTTGCTTGCCCCCAACTGGGGACCTAGCCCACAACCCAGGCATGTGCCCTGACCGGGAATTGAACCAGCAAACTTTCAGTTTGTGGGACAATACCCAATCAACTGGACCATACCAGTAATAGCTAAACACATATTACTGCGCACCTACTATATATATCAGATACTGAGGTAGATAACTGGTATTGGAGATACAGTGGTGAAAAAGACAGAAAAAAAATCTCCGCTCTCGCTGGGTTTATAATCTAGTGGGCGAAGGAAGAAATTTAACAATTAATTAATACACAATTATGGGTTATAAAAGGTACTTCTATTAAGAACTGTGATGACTACTATGAAGTTCCTGACTAAAAAGGCACTCCCAAGATGGGAGTAGCAAAGCAGGACTGCAATGGAGGACTCTATATCTCTGGGGCACACCCCCCAGCTGGTGTCATGCTATAACACAGGTCATAAGCACAGCCACTTGGTACCTATCTACTCATCCACTCATGTGCCCTCCCACTGGAGTTACCCATGTAACTACTTTGAAGATAAATACCAAGGAGCACAATTACTGGGTCATATGGTAAGACCATGTTTAGCTTTGTAAGAACTTGCCAAACTGTCTTCCAAAGTAGCTGTACCATTTGGCATTCCCACCAGCAATGAATAAGATTCCTGTTGCTCTGACTTTGACCACTTTAATAGGTGTGTGGTGGTATCTCATTGTTTTAATTTGTAATTCTCTAATGACACATGATGGTGAGCACCATTCATATGCTTATTTGCCACTGTATTTCCCTTTGATAAGGTGTCTATTCAGATCTGTTGCTCATTTTTTAATTAGGTTGGTTTCTTATTGTTGAGTTTTTTTGTTTTAAAGATTTTATTTATTTATCTTTAGAGGGGAAGGGAAGGAGAGAGGGAGAGAAACATCAATGTATGGTTGCCTTTCATGCATCCTCTGCTGGGAACTGGCCTGCAGGGAACCGGCCTGCAACCCTGGTATGTGCCCTGACTGGGAATCGAACCACGATTGTCTGGTTCACAGGCCCGCACTCAATCCACTGAGCTACACCAGCCAGGGCTTACTGTTGAGTTTTAAGAATGTTTTGTTCTTTGGGTACAAGTCCTTCGGCCCTTTACCTCATATGTATTTTACAAAGATTTTCCCTCAGTCTGTGGTTTATGTTTTCTTGCTCTAAAAGTGTGTGATGGTTAATTTTATGTGTCATCCTTGAGTAAAGGGTGACCAAATAGCTGTTACACATTATTTCTGGGTGTGTCTGTGAGGGTGTTTCCAGAAGAGATTAGCGTTTGAACCAGCAGACTAAGTAAGGATGGCCCTCACCAAATTCGGTACAGGCACCATTCAATCCACTGAGGGCATGAATAGAAAAGGTGGAGGTCGGACACGTTTGCTCTCTGCTTGAGTTGGGACAACCGTCTTCTCCTACCCTTGCACATTGGCACTCCTGATTCTTGGACCTTTGAACTCAAACTAAGTTATACCACTGGCTTTTCTGTATCTTTTACAGAGAAGTTTTTAATTATAATATAAGTCAACTTATCAACTTTTTAATTTTATGTATTGTGATTTTGGTGTTGTATTAAGAAGTCATCAATGTTCTTCAAAAAAGATTTTTTTAAAAGGGATTTTTAAAAAGCACAATCCTACAAGATCAGGGAGGAGCAACTATACAATTTTGGAAACTGGCAAGCAGGCAGAGGAGTTAAATGACATAATAAGACTTAAGAAAGGTGGGGGAAGTCAAATCCCAGCCAATCCATGTTGTAGAATCCCAGGGGCTAGGGAATTACAGCCACTAGTCACCTCTGGAGGTAGGAGTAAAGCACACAGCTCTTAGTAAGTCAAGGGGCTGGCTCAACGTTCCCCACACCCAGAAACCAGTGACTGACTACCCCACCCTCAAACCAGCAAAAGATCCAAACCCACACTCATCCCACCCAGCTGGACGGAAGAGCCAGTGATGTCCCTAATTCAGACCCTGTGCCGGCCTGATAGTTTTCTACAGAGGCTAATTATTCCCACCTGGTTGCTTTGGCACTGTAACCAGCTTCACATCCTTCACACACAGGCTAAAAGTTCAGCCATAAAACCATGACAAGAAATTGCTTTCACTCCTCCTCCTGGCCTACTTAGCACTACAGATAGGAATCAGTTCACCCTTCTCTGGCCACAAAATGCTCACCTTCTGAAAAAGCCTTTTCACCTCCTACAGTTCCTGAGACAGTGTCTCTCTCAGACACGTCTCCTTCGACACACTCTAAACTGAAAATCCTAATGCCAGAGACCTGAATTTTTAATAACTGGAAGAATGGAAAATAAGTCTATTATAAAATAAAATTAAACCTGATTAACAAGGACCACTAGGCTAGAAAAAGATGAAAACAGGCAGTAAATCAGTCCCCATGCCAAGATTGTCAATTTTTCATGAAGAGAAATTTTGCAGTGTTTTTAAAAAAAGAATTGTGAAATAGCCAATTACATTAGAAGAAACAGAACAGAAACTCCGAAATCCTGATGATTCTAAGGTCCAGAAGAATCTACCTCTGAAGAGAAAGCCCCTCTACATCTGATAAAGGGGACAAAGTGTTTCCTAAAGCCTACTGCTGTTTTAAAAGAAAAATTCATATGAAGACTCTTCTAACAAAAATTTTCGAGGCAGCCTGCCAGTAATTGTTTCGGTCCACAGGAGAGGGGAGGAAGCAGCCACAGTGCAAAGAGTTTTGGCTTCTCGTCAAACCACTGAGGATTTCCTGAGAAATGCAATTCCATTTTGATCATATAAATCAAATCAATGTTTAGGTACACAGAAGCACAGGATTCTTTAAGTCTAGTCTTCTTATTTCTTCTGTTTAGTAAAGTCTTTGACATAACTTATGTGTTCAATTTAGCAATAATCATATTGTCTTATATGTCATAAGCCAAAATTATCTTTTACATGAAAAACAGCGGGTGTGAAGATGTACCAGGCATTGTGAACCAGCTCAAAGGAAACAGATTTACATTTCTGAAAAGCGGTGTTTAAGAACACCTTGTCCTTGCTAAGCTCCACACAGCCCACAATGCTGTTTGCTAAGGAATGGGCTCATGTTCTCTCCCCGAACTTCACCATTATTTATTTAGCTTTCAATTTCCAGAATGCACGGTTTATAACTATCAGGAGCACACAGTGAGGTACTGAGAACTCAAGGTGGGGAAGACAGTAAACTTCCTCCTCCTCCTTCCTTACTCATTCTGATGGTTGGCACTTTCTTTTTTTCCCAGCTCTGGACAGTGAACGTTAAACTAAGTAAAAGTAGTAAAATGGAAGAAAAGAAGCCTTCCCGTTCATGTCAAATACGTTTTTCATTTAGAAGGTAAAAGATGAACCACAAACAGATTCCTACTTACCCCCCACAATAGTTATTAGGAAGACTGACATCAGCAATGTTGGTGAGGATGTGAAGCAACAGACACTCTCCTGCATTGTTGGTGGGAATGTAAAATGGCACAACCACTTTGGGAAAAAGTTTAGCCTTTTTTAAAAAAAAGCTAAATATATGCCTACCTACCCTTTGATCCAGCAATTCCACTTATAAGAATTTACCTGAGAGAAATGAAGGTGTATGCTTCCCAAAAGAGTTGTACAATAAATAGTATTAGCTCCAAACTGGAAACAGCTCACATGTCCATCCACACAAAAATGGACAAGGAAAGTGTAATACGTTCATATGACACAATACTACTCAGCGATAGAGATGGGAAGGGAGAGAGACTGAGAGGGAGAGAGGAACACTGATCTGTTGCCTCTTGTATGCACCCCATCTGGGGACCAAACCCGCAACCCAGGCACGTGCCCTGACCGGGAATCCAATGTGTGCCCTTTCACTTCGTGGATGACACCCAAACGAGTCACACCAGTCAGGGCAAATGGACGAATGTCAAAAACCTTACGTGGGGTAAAGAATTCTGTCACAAAAGAATACACATGATACGGTTATACTTATATAAAGTTTTAGGACAGTTAGAACTAATCTAATGATAGAAAGTCCGAACAGTAGTTGCCTTGGGAGGCAGGAGAGAGAAATGACTGTAGGGTCACAAGAAAGCTTTCCAGGGTGATGATAATGTTCTGTATCTTGACAGGCCTGGGTTATATAATTGTATGCATTTGTCAAAACTTGTCATTTGCACCCTGGCCACAAACTGATTGGCTTAGTTGACTGGAGCATCGTTCTTTGCACCAAAAGGATGCAAGTTCCATTCCCAGTCAGGGCACATACCTAGGTTGCAGGTTCAATCCCTGGTCGGGAGTGTATGGGAGGTAAGTGACTGATGTCTCTCTCTCCCTTTCTCTTTCTCTAAAATCAATACATATACCCTCGAGGGGGTGGGGATTAAAAAAATTTAAGATTTGTGCATATTATTGTATATAAATATTATCCCCAAAAGGAAAAGAAACTGTAATGAAACACTGAACTCTCATTATTTAAATGCATGCTTATATATTTAGAGGGAAGTATATTAATGTCTGCAATGTACTCTGAAATGCATTAAAAAAAAACAAACCCTGGATTGGTGGATGGACAGTTGGGCCAATCTGTGATAAAGTATCTACAGAAAAATGTTAATGACAGAATTTAGGTGGTGGGAAAATGAGCATTGATTATAAAATTATTTTTACTTTGCTACTACTTTTTGAAGATTTTCATAATAGAATGTTAGGGAAAAAATAAAGAATGATGGGAAACTACATGCCTACCTAAGGCTTAAAAACAGATTCCTAAGTACGTTCCAGGTGAGGGCACACCTGAGCCTATTTCTTGCTCAGAGTTGTACAAGAGACTACATGGAAGATGAAGATTTTCAAACAGAAACACGATCAGTTATATAAAGCTGTAATTTTAAAAGTGTCTTGGTGATATGTGTCCTCATGAAACTTATTTTTGCTGTTCCTATATGAACTGTTTCATTTTCTTTATGCGCAGCTTTGAATGCTGCAACTGTGTCACCTGCCATGACATTTCCTTTGACAGAGTGGGGACAAGTTTAAGGATCAAAGAGCTCCAAGTGATTTTATAGATATGATCTTATTTATCCTTGAAGTAGTTCTAAAGAGTATACAGTTGAGCAGTTATTATTATGTCCATTTTACAGACAGAAAAAAAACCCCAGGACAACAGAGAAATTAAGGAACTTAGGTCACAAGGCCACTAACAGCATTTAGAATATACTGAAAGCTCATTATGCCAATTTTACAATCATTCTCTTATTTAATCCTTATATAACCTTTCATTTTATACAGGAGGAAACTACGGCTTCTGGAAAACAAATAGCTTGGCCAAAGTTACAAAGACCATCATCCTAATTTCTGTTTAATCAGTCAATAGTTCTGAACATTTTTTTCTGCCAATACAGCATGGATGCTCACATTCCTGTGGATATAAGTTATGCATAATTTTGCCAGGTACCTGTAATTCCACTGCTTTCCTTTTCCTCTGGAATGCAAGTAAGACTGATAAAGGAATAACCTTGACTCTCTTTTTCAATTTACATTTTACAAAAAGCTAATTATTTGCAATTTTTGGTATTTCAAATAAAAGTTGAAACAAATCACTTTGCAGCATTAAGACTGGGACTCCAGCTCTGGCTGGTGTGGCCTAGTTGTCCCATACAGAACAACTAAGATATAGAACATTATCATCACCCTGGAAAGCTTTCTTTATGGGGTGTCATACCATAAACCGGAAGGCTGTAGGTTCGATTCCCAGTCAGGGCACATGCCTAGGTTGCAAGTTCAGTCCCTGGTCAGGGGGCATATGAAAGGTAACTAACTGGTCAATGTTTCTCTCTCACATTGATGTTTTTCTCCTTTTCTCCCCCTCTCTCTAAAATCACTAACATTCTTTCCTTCTAACCCCATTTCACTCCCCAGGAGTATATACCGTTAAGTTTCTTGTGTTTGTCCAAAATTTTTCTATATATTTACTACACATATACGTGTGAAGTAATTTAAATATGGAACACCAAAAATTATTCTCTCATCTCAGACTGACTTTTCCTCTGTGTAATTTAGGCATATTATAGCATAATAGCATGCATAAGTAATATCGCAGCATGTCTTTAAGTCTGCAAGGCTGTAAGTATGATGTTCTGCTCAGGTACAGCTCACCTGTTCTCCAGATCCGGCATGCTTAGGTTTCTAGCAGCAAAGCACATTTTGAGAGGAATGACCTTCCTGTCCTTGGTGCTGTTCTGGTGTTTTGGAGAGCCAGAGTCCTCACTGCCACTAAAGCTTGGTGACTGGGGAGCTGCACCTTCCCATGGCAGATCTGATACTAATGATGGCTTCTTGATATATGGCGTTACTTCTCGGATGAACTTGACTATGAACAAAAATCAAAGAAGAAGATTAGTATTCTTGCTTCCTATAAAAAAATGACAACTAAAATACATGCATTCATGAAATATCTGTCATGAAGTAAAACAAAAAATAGTACGTTAACGAGCTAGCACACAGAATCTTAAGTTTGGAGAGTCCTTTAAGGGCATATAAATCCAAATGAAATAGCATCAGTCTATTCTAAAAACGTTAATTTCTGAGCTTGCATGTATTGTCCCATCTGCTTAGGACACTCCTTTCCCCCCGTGTCTGCCTGGCCAACTCTACTCAACAGTCACCTCCTCAGCAGCCTTTCCTGTCCACTCTCTCCAGGTTATACATTACACCTCTGTTAACAGCCTCTCAGAACAACCCTGGGTTGTGATCCTTTTCGAAAACTTCTGTGTCCCCTGTTGACTGCTGAGTTCCCCAGGGCAGCGGTTATGATTTATTCAATCTTGGCATCCAATATTTAGAACAGTGTCTGTTCAATAAATGTTTTGATAATGTGTGAAGGAACAAACGAATAACTGAATTCTTGAATTGTATCAGTAGCTGACCAGCCATGAATGAATCTCCCGGTGTAGATTCAGTACCCCCAGAGACAGTGCCATGTAGCTTTAGATAAGTGAACATTTATAAACCTTAAAACTTCCACTCGCTGGCTTTCTGTCTATTGAAGCCTATAGAACAAATGTCTTCCACAAGAGAACACCTTCAAATATCTGAAGACTGAGATTATCTCTCTCTCTCTTCTCTGGGCTGAGCTAAATATCTCTAGTTCAATTTGATTCAATTCAATCAACATTTTTAGCTACCTACCGAGTATCAAGCATTAGGCTAGGCACCGAGAAACAAGAGTAAACGAGGCATGGACACTGCGCTCAAGGAATGGACACTGGTCAAGGAATGGACAGTCCAATAAGGAAGGCAGCTATGTAAACAGACATTTACAGCTTTGAAAATAAGTACAAACAAGTAGAAAAATAAGTACATTCAAAATAAGGTATTTCCATTAATGGTAGCCCCAAGCTAAAATACACCTTTTAGTAGATGGGAAACTTTTTAAAGTTCAATTTTAGGAATCATATAAAAATACTTCTTTTACCTCAAGAATGACTGGCAACTACCATCATCTGAAACACAGTGCTCTTGTTTCAAAAACCAGATAAACCAAAGATTATTAAAATCTTACATAACACTAAAATGTAAATAGTTGAATGCAGATGAATCAGTCACCATTACCTCTGCTAACATCAATATGTTATATCATATTCTACCTCCCTCTCAAATTCCAAAGTGGTAGGTCATTAGAGTAGATTTTGGGAATTGAAAACTAGAATGATACTATCATTATCAATGATTATCAGTATATTACCTAGCATTAACATTTTGTAGCATTAGAAGCTTTACAAGTCTATGAAGCTTTACAAGTCTATGAAACTTTACTCACAAACAGATTACTAAATCTACAAACTAATCAGCCCTGATGCAACTGGTTGGGCATTGTCTGGCAAAGTGAAAGGTTGCCCATTTGAATCCTGGTCAGGCACAGGCCTGGGATGCAGTTTTGGTCCTCAGTCTGGGCACACAGGAGAGGCAATAAAGCAATATTTTTCTCTCACATCGTTGTCTCTCTCCCTCTTTCTTCCCCTCCTTCCCCTCTCTCTAAAAATAAATTTTAAAAATTTTTAAAATAAAATAAAAATAAAAGACAAATGTTTCTAAAAACATAGCTAACAACTGTCTTTAAAATAGTTTCTTTTTTGAACAGGTAATATAGGCACATAAATAAATTCAATGGTGTACACGATTTTATAATAAAAATGCTAGGTTTCTAGCAACCCAATTCCCATCCTGGGGGCAACCATTAGACGGTGTTCCAGAGATCTACTGGCTATGCTAAGTATATGTAAAACAGATACATGCGTGAATGTATGTATACACACATATCACACAGTGGCAGTATATTATGTTTACTGTTCTGCATGTTATATTTTTTTACATAACAATATTAATAATAAAGTCTTTTTAATAAGCATTCTACAGCTCATTCTACAGCATGATGTGGTGGTTTGCGGTAGAGAGGCCTTTGGAATCATACTGACCTGGCTCAAACACTCACTGTGCTTGCTGCCTCGGAGCTATGTGACCTCACCTGCCTGTTCTGAGGTCCTCATCTATGAAATGGGAGTTCAAATTAAACAAGTCAAAATCCCAGGCATATATTAAACATCTGATAAATAGTAGTTTTTTTCCCTTCCCTAAATTAGAAAGCTGGGTAAGTTAAAACTTTTAAACAGCAATCAATAGAAGTAAAGTTATTTTTTATAAGTCATTAAACAAGATCTGTTAAAATTAAGCATAATTCTAGAAAATATAATAGAGCATAAAGCATCCTTTTAAAATTATGCTAGCATGTAGATATAATTTACATGTGTTCATATATATGTGTGAATGCTTTCTACGCATAGGTATAATACATGTATCTCTAGGTGGAGAGAGTTAAAGCTAGCTAGCTGCCTCAGGTCACCAAAGAGATTTTTTTCATCCTAGAAAAATGAGCAGAGTTGCAGCCAGTATACCCCTTGAGCAGCTGACTCAGGCATTTCAATACATGCTTTAGCTTTGTACTTTCGAAAGAGGATTAGATCACAAGAACTTTGGCAGAAATTCCTAGTTTCCAGTCACTGCCATGGCAGAAACTTGCTTTTTGAACTATTTAAGGCAGTATACCAACTATTAGGCCAACAACTGGAGGAAATTAAACATATTGTAAATGACTAATCTTGAATATTATAGTGGTTAGAAAGGACCCTGTATGATCTACTCCGAGGTTCACTCAATTCCACAGTAGCATTGCTGAACTGATTATTGTACACATTGAATTAAAACAGACACACATACACAGCCTATTGCATGGCTTTCAGAGAGCAATGAGTTTCACTCGAGTTGATGACAGCAATGCTCATACTCCCATCTGTAATGGCTGAAGAACTGTGAAAAGACATCTATTTCTAATTCACCCAAGATTTGGGGAAGATAGAAAGTTAATGGTCCTGTTTTAGTTCTATACTTAGACCTTCTAAGTTGCCACAGTGCTTTAACCTGGATACTTGAATGAATAAGCAAAGCCTCTATACCACCACATGGCATTCAGGTCAACTCAGATCCCTCAATATACAGGGTCTGGCACAAATAACGCCCCTTTTTTATTACAAAATCTTTTATTATAAAATCATAGGCATGTAATTCTGTAACATAACAATATCACACTCAAGCACACCACATGACATTTTAGGTGAAATGTTCAAATTAAAGCTATAAATTATTACACTCATATCATTTCCCCACCAAACACACTCAAGCACGTGTTACTTCTGTCAGACTCTGTATTTCAGAATTATTTCATTTTTCCTGATAAAGATCATCCTCAAAATGTTTAATTAAACACTGATGTTTGCAGTGTTTTAGGTTTTAGGTACTAAAGTAAATTTTCTTCCTTCTATATACTGATCACTCTTATTGAAAATGAAGGGGGTCCCGGCCAGGTAACTCAGTTGGTTAGAACATCATCTCAATACACCAAGGTTGAGGGTTTGATCCCCAGTCAGGGCACATATGAGAATCAACCAATGAATGCATAAAGAAGTGGAACAACAAACTGATACTTCTCTCTTTTTCTCTCCCTTCCCTTCTCTCTTTAAAATAAATAAATAATAATTTTTAAAAAAAAGAAAAAGAAGAGGGCTTTCCCCTACCCTAAAAGCATCGTTGTAGCCCTTCTCTTTAGAGTAATGAAAACATACATGTGTTATACACCCACCTGGAAAGACGTCTGGAAGGATTTTCATCAAAATATCAATAATGCTTATGCACAGGTATCTCTCTTTCTCTATTTATATAGTTCTGTATACTTGAAGTTTTTATGAATCTGTTATCATTTATACCAAGAAAAAATTTACTTGATAAATGAAGAAGCCTTATTCTAAAACCTTCCTCAAACTTTAAACATAGAACTACCTTAGAGTGAAAGCTGGCTGAGCCTTCAAAAACCATAATGCACTGGATGGGATCCAAGAGCCAACTGATTCTTACTGAATTCTGTACTCCGAGGAATAAGGTTACAGGGGGGCCATGGATTTTAATGAGATACACTGCTATCTGGTTTGGAGTATTAGGCAGCAAATGATTTTAAATCGAATGTCGCTTAAAAGCTTACCCAAAATATACTTCACAGTCAGACATAGGCTATGACTGTTAACACAAATATTCCAGTAAATCAATTACCTTTCCTTATAACCACCAACCTCTCATATAATCATTATTTTCCTCTTTATCTCTAAAAATTATCTTTTTCTTAATCCCATCTGGGGACTTATTACTATGAGTTTAAGTGAAACTAAGTGGGTCAGACAATGTGGGGATAGCAGTGCCATCATTTCCCCTGCTTTTGCAAGCAAGTTCATTCCTGGGTTATCCTTAGGGAGGAAGAGCTGGCTTTTCCTTTTGCTCACAAATGAATTATGTTGACATCACTGTTAAAGTATTCTCCCAAGAGGTTTTTCCTTAATCTCATCCCAAGCTCCTCCTCCAAATCAGGAATCTGATAGATGGCCACCAAAAACATTAGGAAGGAATTACTTTCAGTAAGGACATTTACACTCTCAACTAGCAGGTGTCTTTCAACTCAGGTCTCCTGACACTTGGAATGTGAGCAGGCTCCAGTCCAGGTGTTGGCGATGCAAACCCTGAATGTGTTCTGAGTAACCCGGGTTTTGCTGTACTGTTTTAAAGTAACCATTTTAAAGTAACACTGCAAATTCACCAATTTGTTGAGCTCCTGGTATGTGCCAGGAACTGTTTTAGGAACTTAGAATAATACATCTGTGAACAAAACGTGAAAAAGAAAGATGAATGTAATAAGTAAATTATATTCCAAAGAAACAACAACTTATGTTCACATAAAAGCCTGTACATGAATGTTTTTGCAGCTCTTTTCCT